GCCATCCTATATTCAATACTTATCTTATCGTATTTCAACCCGAGTAGATTGTAATCTAGAATTAAAGATCAATAAAACATCCGATATTTACCCCCAGGAAAGGGAGAAATCTACTCTTATTATTTCATAAGGTTTAGTGGGTCCTTATGGCGACCCTGGGTACAGCTGAGCTTACCTCAGCCGACGAGAAAACCACGTTACAAATGGCGCCCGAGCAGGGACCTGATTCGAAATCGCACTGCGGCAAAACCGAAACATCCGCCAACGAGGACGAGTCAAGTCGGAAATGCGATAAGAAATTGAAACCCGAATCCTTAGGATGGATTTTTCTTCTGAGAAGGGAACAACTTATAGAACAGTGCCAGGCGGCAAGTATACAGACAGAAGGATATACTGTCGAGTACCTAAGGAGGCAACTGGCGGACTTCGTGAGGAAAAAGCGATTGAGGAGTTCGACCGAGAATTTATTACGGGATTTGGAAAATGAGCTCAAGGCAGAAGAGAAAACAGTCGTCACTCAAGAGTGTCTGCAGATTCCCGAACGACCTCCTCGCCGGGAGAGTTGTGATTCCGAGACCATGAGTATGGTACAGCGATGGAACTTAAAATTTACAGGCGAAGGAGATCTATCCGAGTTTTTGGAAAGACTAGAGGAGTTGGCCGAGTGCTACCGAATTCCCCACGACCGACTCGTATCCACCCTGCCCTGTATCCTGGAAGGTAACGCACTCAAATGGTATAGAGTCAAGATGGGGGATATCACGACCTGGAAATCGTTCCGAACGGAGGCCGAGAAATTTTTCTTGTCAAAACGGCATTTAACACAACTTGAACACTCGTTCTATAACCGTCGACAGTTTAACCGGGAAAAAGCCAAGGATTTCATACTTCAAATGCTGACCATGGCAAAGCAACATCCTACCCTACGACTAATGGACCACCTAGATCGGATTTACGACGGCCTTCGTCCCGAATACCGTCATTACATTCGTCGGAATGACTTCCAGACCTTAGACGAATTGTTGTCTTTGGTGGACGACTTCGAGCTTTTAAAGAAAGACGAGGCTCGTGTCGAACGTCCACATACTTCCCACATGGTATCGCAGACCTCGGACGGATATATTAGGTCAACGCATTGTTGGCGTTGCAAAAAGAAGGGCCATGTACGCTACCAATGCCAAGAAAAGGGAAAATTGTTTTGCTCCCATTGTGGCAAGGAGGGTATACTATCCCGGAACTGCGAGTGCCGAATGAACCCGACCATCAACACCGATCATCATGGGAGATATTACATTTGGATCTCCCTCAATGGGAAAGGTTTGTGGGCTCTCGTAGATACCGGAGCTTCGCTTACCTACATCGATAGCTCTGTCGGCAAGTTCGTGGACATGAAAGGGGTTAAACCGATCACAATAACCCGAAGAGTTCAGCTTGCCGACCAACAAATGGCCACCTGTGGAAGGGTATACCCCGTGTCGATTGTCTTCAACGACCAAGCCACCTCCATAGAGGCAACAGTACTACCAACACTTGCCGAACCTGTAGTTCTAGGGATGGATTTCCTGCTGAAGAGAGGTCTGGATATCGTCTTAGACGGGAAGGTCGTCCCCAAGGCAGCAATTAGTGATCGCTCCGGTCTGCATTACCTGCACAGCATATCGGACTGGGTGCTGTCGTCCCGAAAGAAGAACAAGTTACCCGAGAGTGAAGCAATACCTCACCGACGAGCCTATGAAAAATACAACGATTTCCGCACCAGAGCTCAAAGATCCGTCCGATTTCATACTAAATTAGTCAACCACACCGATTTTACGAAGGCTAAGCTTTTGGAAGTTCCAGTCCAATCGCTCCCTAAAACTTGCAAACCCCCGAAATCAAGACACCGAATTACCATAAAAGCGAAATCGGTGTCCCCGCCGGCAAGTTTATCGAAGAGACAGACGGATCCACCATCTAAACCACTTCTGCAGAACTATCCCCAACGAAACTCGACCGAGGCTGGCCATCCCGAAGCACCAGCACATTATCATATAACCCGACAAAACCAGCACGACTATCTCCGTGAAGCATCACTTTCCCAAGCAGGGGGGGGATGTAACGTGCTGATTTCATCACGTACATTTATACGAACAAACAACCGCACCTATTACACAAAGAGAACAACAACAGCGGCCACTGCAAGTGCGACGCTAACAGCACCAACCAACCACCACCACCATCATGCACACACGACTCGGTCATACGCAGTCAGCAAGGCGACAACAGCACTAGCCAGCAAACGCAGCATTCATTGGGCGCGTGGGGAACAAAGTACTTTTCGTTGGTGTGCTGTTCACAGCGTAAGGCTAAAAATTCGCAATGACTTGGTTGAACCGGTCACATATAGCGTTCGGTTTTAGGTGCGATGGGGGGAGGCTCGCTACTGCAGGAGCTTGCCAAAGGGTAGCTAGTGATTTTTCTAAAGATCATCGGCCGTCCTCCGACTAATAAAAGCGTTAGTCGGGAATACTTTTTCCAAGACTGGCTCTCATTAATTTGAGTGGCTGGTAATTCATTTACACAGGAGTTTCGGCTCGCTGTTCCACAGGAGCTTCGGCTCGCTGTTCCACAGGAGTTTCGGCTCGCTGTTCCGTATTATAGTCAAACGTTGGTAGTGGAGTAGACGTAGTTAGAGAATCGTAGCTAGGCTAGTTACCTCGCCCCTGTAGCCGACCCGAATAACAGAAACCCGAGCTGACGAACGAGCCCCGAACCATCTACACGAACGCATCGGTTGCTGAATCTACCCTCAACGAGCTGTCGAACACGAACGAGCCCCGAACCATCTACACGAACGCATCGGTTGCCGAATCTACCCTCAACGAGCTGTCGAACACGAACGAGCCCCGAACCATCTACACGAACGCATCTGTTGCCGAATCTACCCTCAACGAGCTGTCGAACACGAACGAACCCCGAACCATCTACACGAACGCATCGGTTGCCGAATCTACCCTCAACGAGCTGCCCAACCAGTACGAATGTCAATCCGATCACGAAGACCTGGACAGCTGTTCCCGATTACCGACAAGTCGTCAACAGACCGCATCACCCGAACACAATCATCATAATTCCTGATCGTCGACAACCGACGACCACAAGTCCCGATTACCTTCAAATCGTCAACAGACCGCATCACCCGAACACAATCATCATAATTCCTGATCGTCGACAACCGACGACCACAAGTCCCGATTACCTTCAAATCATCAACGAACACAAGTTCCCGAGTACCGTCAAATCGTCAACAGACCGCATCGGCCGAGCGCAATCATCGTAATAATCTGATCGTCGACGACCGACGACCAAAAGTTCCCGATTACCTTCAAATCGTCAACGCAAGCGTCACCCGAACGCAACATCGTAATTCCCTATCTTCTTCACAATCAACCTCCGACGGTCATCCCCGAGTATCCGATCGTCGACTAGCCACACTCATATCAACCACCCGAGTACTCATTGCGTACACCCGACATCATCACTCCCGATTGTTCACGAATCGTACACCCGCCTGCCTACGATACGAGTCAACATCGAATCCCCGATCACCAATTCAGCAACATCACCTTGGAGTCACGAACATATCCGAAGTCCATTTGCCATCCTATATTCAATACTTATCTTATCGTATTTCAACCCGAGTAGATTGTAATCTAGAATTAAAGATCAATAAAACATCCGATATTTACCCCCAGGAAAGGGAGAAATCTACTCTTATTATTTCATAAGGTTTAGTGGGTCCTTATGGCGACCCTGGGTACAGCTGAGCTTACCTCAGCCGACGAGAAAACCACGTTACACCTCCCTATATTCGATATTTTGATCATTATAAACAGATTTTTTTTCAAACTTCGCATTTGAATATTATAATAGCTTGTGACAAAAGTTGCTTGTGCAGGTCTACGTCGTCGTATAGGCCCTAATATACGGCTACATTCGGTATTTTTAAGATTTTAACAGAATTTTTAACGGATTTCATTTTTTTTTTTTTTGAAAATTGCCAATTTTGTACCAAATGGTGGAGGGTATTCATTTTTTTTGTAATTTTGAAGCGCTTTTCCAAATTTTCCATAAAATTTAATATTAGTAAAATAGTTTTCTTTGTTGGAGCTATAAACGTTTCACTCATGCCATACCTCATTCTCATTTGTTTCTATTGAAAAAGGTTGTATAAAATAAGCGGGTCAACATCACACATTGAATAAGTTTATTCTTTGTAATCTGCAAAATATACCATTTCTCTATTTCGCTTTATTTTTTGTTTACTCGCTCACAAATATCCCATATCCACATACGAAATTTATGTGCTCATGTTTATCATAGAAAAATAAAAACCTTTGATCACAAACAAATAAATTATGTTCGGCTCAAATACATAAAAAGGAAAATGCTGGTACTTATCTAAATAGTTCAAAGGGATATCTGGACATAATTTATTTTGAAATTAAATCCCCTCAACCAAAGTACCCTTATATATGGCAAAATAAATTTAGTTTTTTATATTATTTCAACCAACAGCGGCATAACCCAAAATCTGTGCTTTGGAGGACAAAAAAATATAAAACACTTCACTTGACCTTATCTGCTACGAACATATTTTGTTACCCCAAAAACTGATGCCTTGGCATTTACTATTTTAACAACGGGTTAAAAAGTTAAATGTCAACAGCAGCAAAGCCGGCTGGCATTGTCACTTGGTGACATAAACACACATACACACCAAAGAGTCCTTCCGAAACTTCCGGCTGATGTCACATTTGCATAATTAACCCTATTGTTGTATATTTTTCTTTTTTTTCATTTTGTTGTTAATTAAGTAGTTAAGTACTTGGTGTTTTTAATGTCAAGAGACAAGTTGCAGAGTATCCTTTTAAAAACAGAAAAATATCAATGTCAATTTATATTCTCCTCATTAAATGTTTAACTTTTTTCATTTTCTTCTTCTATAATTTCATGTCCAGTGGTCTCGGAGTTGTGGGGTTCACAGTGTGTCCGTCTCAAGGTCACCACAAAAACCGAAAATTGTGGTGAAGGTGCTGATTGCTCTGGAAAAGGTGTCTGCTTTTCCGACAGCGACATGGAGGAGTATGAATGTCAGTGCTGCAGCGGTTTTGCTGGACCACACTGCGAGGAGATTGATGCCTGCACACCCAGCCCATGTACAAATAATGGCATATGCGTTGATTTGTCTCAAGGTCACGAGGGTAATTCCTATCAATGCTTGTGTCCGTATGGTAAGTAGTTGAAATTATGTAAAAGTTATAATTCAGGAACTGTAAGTAAAACCAAAATATGATATATTTGAAGAGCGAGTGAGTGTATTATTGATTACAGGGGGTAATATACACAATTTGAAATTTATGACCCGCTTTAAACATGTCTTAAAATCATAAAATTTTGCGACTTGAAAAAATATTAAAATCTGTTAAAATACCAATAATTTGAGGACTATATGAGAGTAACATTGAGCAACTATTTTGCGATGACATTTTCAACTCCGGATTTCAATTTTCAATATAGAGCCATTCGCCTAGAAAACGTGACTAAAAATTACCTTAATACCGTTAATGCCATTCAAAATACCGAAAACAAGAAGTAGTATTATAAAGAAAATTGTACACTTATACAGAAGCTTTTCACGGATATACTCCACATAATAAGAACCTGCAATTACAAATTACAGCTACCTCCGACGAAAATTGACAACATACCTATCATAAGGGCAAAACTTATTTGGTTGAGCATTTTGGAAAAAATCCACAAAATATCGAAAAGCAGGAGACCACGTTGCATTGGGGTTATACCAAGTACTGGTCCTATACTGACATTTTTCTGTCTGTATAGGACCAGTACTTGGTATAACAATTGTGCTTGAGAACCTAAAAAGTAAAAAAGCTGTAAGTTCGGCCGGGCAGAACTTTAATACCCTCCACCATTTGGTACAAATTTAACCATTTTCAAAAAAATAAAATCTGTTAACAATTCTATTAAAATCTTCAAAATACCGAATGTAGCCGCATATTAGGGTCTATACGACGACGTGGACCAGCATAGGCAACTTTTGTCACAACCTATTGCAATATTCCAATGCGGAACTTGAAAAATATCTGTTTAAAATGTAGCTAAAATAATCTGAATACCGAATATAGGGAGGTACCATGGGGGTTATAAAATGAGGACCTGCACAAACAATTCTCTGTCAGAGGCTGTAGAATCCATTACGAACTTCAAATACAAAATTTGAAATAATTCCAGTAAATAATGTCGCTAAAATCATAAAAATACCGAATATCGGGTGGTACCGTTATATGGGGGCTATTCGAAGCCGTGGACCTACACAAACAATTCTCTGTCAGAGGCTGTAGAATCCATTACGAACTTCAAATACAAAATTTGAAATAATTCCAGTAAATAATGTCGCTAAAATCATAAAAATACCGAATGTCGGGTGGTACCGTTATATGGGGGCTATTCGAAGCCGTGGACCTACACAGACAATTTTCGGTCATAGGCTGTAGTATCCATTACGAACTTCAAATGCAAAATTTTAAACAATTCCGGTAAATTATGTCGCTAAAAACATCAAAATACCGAATATCGGGTTGTACCGTTATATGGGGGCTATACGAAGACGTGGGCAGGCAGAGACAATTTTCTGTCATAGGCTGTAGTATTCATTTCGAACTTCAAATGCGAAGTTTGAAACAATTCCGGTAAATTATGTCGCTAAAAACATCAAAATACCGAATATCGGGAGGTACCGTTATATGGGGGCTATACGAAGACGTGGGCAGGCAGAGACAATTTTCTGTCATAGGCTGTAGTATTCATTTCGAACTTCAAATACCAAATTTGAAATAGTTCTGGTAAAAAATGTCGCTAAAATCATCAAAAGACCGTATATTCGGGGGGTACCGTTATATGGGGGTTATACGAAGACGTGGACCTACATGGCCCATTTTCAGTCTGATACTGTAGCATCCACTACGAACATCAAACACCAAATTTGAAACAATTGCGGACCTGCACAAACAATTCTCTGTCAGAGGCTGTAGAATCCATTACGAACTTCAAATACAAAATTTGAAATAATTCCAGTAAATAATGTCGCTAAAAACATCAAAATACCGAATATCGGGAGGTACCGTTATATGAGAGCAATACGAAGACTTGGACCTACATGGTCCATTTTCATTAGCAAAAGTCCTGCAGACATAATACACATTTGAGTAAATTTTTATCAACCTACTTTATTTCGTTCGGAAGCTAAAGTGATTTCCACAGACGGACAGACGGACGGATATTGCTAAATCGACAGAGAATTTTATGCTGATCGAGAATATATATTTTGGGGTCTTAAATGTATATTTGGAGGTGTTACAAACGAAATGGCAAACTTAATATTCCCTCCATACTATGGTGGAGGGTATACAAAATGGGAAATGTCATGTTTCAGCTAATTTGTTTGACACTTGCGACAGAAACCTTAAAAATTCCAAAAATCGGAAGGTAAATTGAAGGAGTATATAGCAAATACTAGACCTATACTGACACTTTTTCGAAGTGAATAAGTTAAACCAATCAGGATCCGAAATGTCAAATTAGAGGTGAGGCAAAAACATCAAAATATCGAACATCGATTTAGACAGGACTTCCCTCGACACAGACAAGCTAATGTTCGAGCTGAAGGTCATCTCTACGAGCTGAACGTCGTCTTTCGACAAAGACGAACTGAAGGTCGTCTCTCGACATAGAAGGTCATCGCTCGACACAGAAGAGCTGAAGGTTGTCTCTCGACATAGCTGAGCTGATGATTTTCAGATTAGCTGAAGGTCGTTTCTCGATTTAGACGAACTGAAGGTAGTTTTCGACATAGCCGAGCTGAAGATCATCTCTCGACATAGACAAGCTGGATGTTTGACGAGTTGTGAAAGGTGAATTGTTTCCTATATACACCCGGATGGAGTAGTATCATTTTTAAACGACCTGGTCCAAGAAGAGCTTGAGGGTCTTCTATCCAAATTCGTTCACAAAGAAACCTGTTCTCAGAAGACTTGCAAAATGTATTCTGTGACCAAAGACCTGCTAAAAATTGTTTAACAACCCATTGAAGTCTGAGGGTTTTTCCATAGAGAGCTTGTGTCTTCTTCTCTGAAAATATCCATGGGGGACCTGTTGAAGGGTTTTATCCATAGGGGACCTGATAAAAATATTCTATTTATATTCTATATATAGGACGAGTTTTGAAAGGTGAATTGTTTTCTATATACACATGAGCTGTAGTACTATCATGCATAAAACGAACTAGACCAAGAAGAGCTTGAGGGTCTTCTATTTGCAGAACGCAATGAATTCTGTTCTCAGCAGACTTGCAAAATGTCTTCTGTGCACATAGGACCTGCTAAATTGTTTTAACAACCCATTGAAGGCTGAATGTTTTTCCATGGAGAGCTTGTATCTCTGAAAATATCCATAGATGACCTGTTGAAGGGATTTTATGCGTAGGGGACCTGCTAAAAATATGCTATATATAGGTCACCTCTTAAATCTCTTCTCTATGGAAAATCTGTCAAATGTCTATGTATGTCTAGAATACTTCTGACATTTCTCCTTTGAATAGAGGGCATTTTAAGGTTATTTCGTTTTATGTCCCCGTCATATGTTCTCAAAGGACGTGTTGAAAATCCTCTGACGTCTTGGTAAATATCTTAAGTCCAAAGACTAAGGTTTATAGTGTCTAATGTCTATAGATAACCTATAAGAGACTTTTAAACATATATCTTATATATGTAGGTCCTATAAAAAGGACTTCTTTTTGTGGAAAACTGGTCTGCACAAGTTTTAACTAAATATATTATGAAACGTCTGTAAAAATGCAATTCCTTAAGTCCAACATTTGTAGAATTTTTGTTAATCGAGTTTAGTTATATTCACTCCAATGCTCCTCTCCCCTTCCCTGATCCCTGATTTCTTTCACACTTCCCTTTACTTATCTTTCCCACAAATTTCCTTTCGATATTTCTCTGACACTAATTGTTAATTATCCACCAATAATTAACGGATGTTCATTAAGGATGGCTGTTTTCTGCAACATTCCTACCAACTGCGCAGCGATTCGGTTTAACAATATTTTGTGGTTAAATGGTTTTCTTGAACGGATTTTTGTAATTTTCCGGTGACCATAAGCTCACGCTGAGCACTTAACAACGACAATGCGACCAAGGTTTGGCCACCATTTTTTTACTTTTTTTGTTAAACCCAGCCTTTATCTCTTTTGTCAGAAATGTATTTTTTTGCTCCACGATTTCCTCATCAAACATCGTGGGTAGTCTTTCCGTTACTCAAGCGGTTGCAGAGTAACAAAGCGTTTGTTTTTAATTTGTTGAGGTTTTTCTTTTTTGTTGAATTTTTTGTTGTCGTTGTTGTGATTTTATTTTTTTTTCTGTTGCAATCTGTTTTGTTTTCTGTTGAACTTTAGCTGTGTTCGCGTAGTTGCTTTGAGGGTATCCCGGCGTGTAAGTATTGTTGTGCTGGACTCTGTTACATCTTTTCGACGGATGTATCCTTTTCATGCACAGTTGAAGGATGATGCTGAAGAGTGACAAGAGAGAGAGAGAGAGAGGGGGGAGAGAGAATGGTTGGAATAAACGTGGCGACAACAAAGTACACAGATTTGACCTTAATTGAGTTTGGAGCACAGCTTGAGATTGTTTAACTGTTAGTTTTCTTCTTCTATTTTGCATCTCCGGTCGTTGTCATTGCTATTCTGTTCCTGTTATCTATGGAATTGCTAAAGGCAATTGATAAATAGTTTATATAAAATGAAGGAAATAGAGTTTTCTTTATTTATAAAGCCTAAATCGCTTTCAGGGTAGTTAATTAAAAAAATAAATATTGGATTTCTTTTTACTTAGTTGGACTCAAACCAGTTCGCCATCAAGCAAAGCTAAGATAGCTAATTTTCAGGAAATCAAAACAAAAAAAATGTAGGTGACTTCCATAATTTTCATACCCTCCACCATAGTATGGAGGGTATATTAACACCTTTGTAACACCTCGAAATATACATTTAAGACCCCACGAAGTACATCTATTCTCGATCAGCATAAAATTCTATATCGATTTAGCGTTGTCCGTCCGTATGTCCGTCTATCCGTCTGTGGAAATCACTCTAGCTTCCTAACGAATTGAAGTAGGTTGATACAATTTAACTCAAATTTGTATTATCTCTGCAGGACTTTTGGTATTGAAAATGGGCCATATAGGTCCACGTCTTCGTATAGCCCCCATATAACGGTACCACCCGGTATTCGGTATTTTGATGATTTTAGTGACATTTTTTAACGGAACTATTTCAAATTTTGTATTTGAAATTTGTACTAGATACTTCATCCTAAGACAGAAAATGAGCCATGTAGGTCCACGTCTTCGTATAGCCCCCATATAACGGTACCCCCCAAAATTCGGTATTTTGATGATTTTAGCGACATTATTTACCGGAATTTTGAATTTCGTAATGGATACTACAGCCTACGACAGAAATTGTCTGTGTGTCTTCCCCATGGGGACTATACCCCATATAACGGAACCCCCGATGTTCGGTATTTTGACGATTTTGGCGACATTATTTACCGGAATTGTTTCAAATTTCGTTTTTGAAGTTCGTAATGGATACTACAGCCTGTGACAGAAAATTATCTATGCAGGTCCACGTCTTCGTATAGCCCCCATATAATGGTACCCCTCGATATTCGGTATTTTCATGATCTTAGCGACATTATTTACCGGAATTATTTCAAATTTTGTATTTGAATTTCGTAATCGATACTTCAGCCTATGACAGAAAATTGTCTGTCCAGGTCCACGTCTTCGTGTAGCTCCCAAATAACGGTACCCCCGATATTCGGCATTTTGATGATTTTAGCGATATTATTTACCGGAATTATTTCAAATTATGTATTTGAAGTTCGAAATGGATACTACATCCTAAGACAGAAAATGAGCCGTGTAGGCCCACGACTTCGTATAGCCCCCATATAATGGTACCCCTCGATATTCGGTATTTTCATGATCTTAGCGACATTATTTACCGGAACCATTTCAAATTTGGTATTTGAATTTCGTAACGAATACTACAGCCTATGACAGAAAGTTGTCTGTCCAGGTCCACGTCTTCGTGTAGCCCCCGAATAACGGTAACCCCCGATATTCGGTATTTTGATAATTTTAGCGTCATTATTTACCGGAATCGTTTCAAATTGCGCTTTAGAAGTTCGTAAGTGATACTACAGCCTGTGAAAGAAAATTGTCTATGCAGGTCCACGTCTTCGTATAGCCCCCATATAACGGAACCCCCCATATTCGGTATTTTGATGATTTTGGCGACATTATTTACCGGAATTGTTTCAAATTTAGCATTTGAACTTCGTAATGGATAATACAGCTTAATACTGAAAATGAGCCATGTAAGTCTACGCCTTCGTATAGCCCCATATAACGGCACCCCCCCTCTCTCCATATTCGGTATTTTTTACCGGAACTATTTAAATTTTGGTATTTAAAATTCGTAATGGGCAGTTCCACGTCTTCGTATAGCCCCCCTATAATGGTACCCCCGATATTCGGTATTTTGATGATTTTATCGTTAGAGCACTCCAGCATTTAATTGGGAATAATTTTTTTTGTCTAGTACTTTGGCTCGTTACCATGATACTGGTAGCGTAGCCCGCCGCCAAGGAAGTGAACGGAAGAATACAGCAACATCAGCAGAAACGGTTCGAAAAGTATAGAAGCGACTTGATCGAAACCTGCGTCGTAGTGGCCGAAAAATGGCTCGTGAACTGAATATATCGCAATATTCCATTCGGCAAATATTGAAAAATGACCTCGGGGTAAAGCCATTGAAATACCAAAAAGGGCAAGGACTTACACCGCAACACAAAAAAAATAGACTCAAAAGAGCTAACGAGTTGCTTCGCTTGGTGAACTGCCGAATTTGGTTTTTTCCGATGAGAAAACAGTCGTTGTCCAGTCGTTGTAATAAACAAAATGATCGCGTTTACATGCCAAAGAGGTCAGCAGAAAATATGCACCTTCGGTTGGCCACCAGAAATCAAGCGACGGCCATGGTGACAGCCGATGGTAGCTCTCCGCTCGTATTAATCGACCGTGATATCAGATAAATGCCGAATATTATCGCGAAAATATTCTGGAAGGTGTATTAAAGCCAAACATTTTGGCCGCATGCCTTGGACATTCCAACAGGACTCAGCACCATCGCACTCAGCACGCACCACCCAAGAATGGTTCCAAAATGAGGTTCCTCTTCCAAAATCTCCGGATACCAATCCGTTGGACTATTATGTCAGGAGTATTTTGGGAAGCAAGGTTGGCACTAAAAAATTCCAAAGTGTCATTCACCTCAGGCAATCGCGTCGCCGGGAATGGGCCAAGATACCGCAAGGCAACATTCAGGCAGCGTGTGACGGTTTCATTGGTCGTTTGAAGGCCATAATTCGTGCCAAAGGTGACCAATTCGAACAAATCTAAACTTATTCTAAATTCCGTCATTTTTTGCTTTCAAACGATAAAATTAAAAAAAAAAATTAAATTTATAGCGTTTGACTTTGTTGCAGTTTTTTCATTTCACCCTGTATATATGAAAACGAATGGCCAAATTTAATGACTTTCTTCCATATTCAAAAGAATGGTCCTTTCCCCCATATAGACCATCAATATTTCATTCTGTATTGTTCAAATTCATTTATATCCAAGATTATCCTTACAAATACCATAACATGAAATTCATTCGCCGACCAATTTAATTGTATAAAATAAACGTTTATGCATAATTTAGCAGAGTATACTGGCGCACAATGGCTGAAATCATAAAAAGAGAACCGAAAAATACGAAAAAAAAACTCTTGACCATAAAGCAGATTTCAATTTATGTTGATGTTGTATTATTGGTATGGTAAACTAAATGGATTGTGTTCCATAATATCCTTACATTCTGACAGTCACTCACTCTCTCGCTTGGACGCCACAATTACAATAATGATAGGGACAATTTTTTATCTCCCTTTGTTTGCTTGTCGTTTCGTCCTCGCTTTTTCTTCTTCACTCTCTACACATGAATAAATGCTTTCAATACTCATCCCCGTCCCCGTTCTCATCCTCATCACCAACCGTTGTAACCGAAAAAATAACAATGACTTTCAATTACAGGATATACGGGTAAAAACTGTCAATACGAATTGGATCCCTGCAATCCGGCGGAATGTATGAACGGCGGTAGCTGTGTGGGAAACTCAACACATTTTAGGTAAGCAAAGCAGAAAAATAGCACACAATCCGGGCACACAGTATTGAATAAATCCTGCATAAAATTTTATTAGTCTTTGTATTTTTTTTTTTTTTACAAAACAAAAAAAGAAGCGGAGAAACGTTTCTACCGCAACATTTATGGCCAAATGCTGATGGCTGCTTGCGGTGAACATTAATTCAATTGTTGCTAAATAATTGAAATTCATGATACACTGGGGGGATTTCAATACAATTGTGGTAGTTTGATAAGAGGGGAAAAAATTTGGAGATGGAAATATGATTTGTATTGTCTGGCATTTTTTCTTAACAATACCAAGTCTACAATGAATTGTTTTTACCAAAGGCTAAGATAACCATACAATAACAATAATGATAAATAAAATAATTTTGTATTTAAATGTTCTTGGAATTTATTGGATAAGAAATATAATTTCATATTCCGAAACTACCATCAACTTTACCAGTATTCGCTTATCTTCTAACTAAAGATAATCGAAGTTGAACCTATATCGTATATGTTTGAAAAATATATCATACCAAAGAATAACCTCCAATATCAAAAACAAAAAATAATAATAAAACAAAACAAGTAAGCAAAGGCTATAGTCGTGCGGGGCCGACCATGTGATAAAAACTAGAGAACATTTAAAATTGGAAAATTTCCGAGGTTTTAGCAAAAATTAGCAAACAAAAATATCATTATTATGTTTTACAAGCATCATTTGAAATCTTGTTCTACGAATCGAATACTTATTATACCCTCAGTCATGTGGCTGCAGATGGTGTATATCATTACGGCCAAAAAGTGAAATGACGGTTTTAGATCCTAGATCAAAATAAGTTTCAGGACATTTGGAGTCAACCTAGAGCTCCGCCCGTCCGTCTGTCTGGCAGGGCAGTACAATAAATCTATAAGGAAGTAACCGATTTGATTTAAACTAGGTACATCATAATATTATTGTCAATCATAGGTCGAGTTCGGAGATGGCGAATATAGGTCAACTCCTTCTGGTACCTCCTCTACAAAGGGGCCAAATTTTTAAATTACAAAAAGACCATAAAATACGAAATTAACATCCTTCTCTCTTCAAATTTTATATATATTAATATTTCTACTAGCATATGATCTGTTGTGAAGATTATAGATATCGATACACTTCTTCCGGTACCTTCCCATAAAGGTGATAACACTTAGCTCATTAAATTTGAAATGAGCATCCGAAACTTGGCACATCCCAATATTTTTGTGAACATAAGAACAGATGTAAAGATGGAATATGTCGGATCCTTCCTTCTGGTACCTCCCACACAAGTCCCACACATCTTAATATTTCTACTAGCACAATATATGGTGTGAGTATGATATATATCGGCCAACCTCTTCTGGTACGCCCACCACAAAGGATCAAATTCTTTGCGAAACAAGTCAGCGATTCCATTAAAACCTTGTATTTCTAAATATTTCCCTCACCAAGAGATCTGATTTGCATATGGCATTTTTCGTCCACTATTTGTGATACCCCACCGAAAAATTAAAATTTTGTTTTACTATTTTTAGCATAACATTTAAAATTAATTTATGATTTGTTTACATTTAGCAAATTCCATTACTTTTATTAGCATAGTATTACACTTGGGTCTACAATATCTGGCACCTCACGCACATTTCTATATTTTCTAAAAATTATCACATAATAATCCGATTTTGATCCAAGTTTGCATCAATGCCAGGTCAGGTACGAAGATGGACAATATCGGCCTACTTCATCAAGTTCCTCCCCCACATATGGTCCGAATTTGGAATAATTATAACCCTTATAAAATGAGATGTGAAAGTCCGATTGTCTTCAAAAAATTAAAACATCACAATATTTTTATTAATCTAAGGTCTGGTGTGAATATGAAATATATGGGGCCACTTTTTCTAGTATCTCCACCACAGAGGGTAAATATTTTGAATATTTATGAAGCTCATAAAACACGAAATAAACATCCGATTCCATTCACATGTGGTATATATCAATATTTCTATTAATACAAGATATGTTATAAAGATGGATCGGACCATTCATTCGGGTACCTCCCCCACAAATGGTGAAAACTTTGAATAACCAAAACGATCATAAAATCCGAGATAAGCACCGGATTCTCTTTACACACATCATGATTTTTTATTAGCCCAAGGTCTGGTATGACGATGGGTTATATCGGTCCACTCCTTCTGGTACCTCCCCTACAAAGGGTCGACATTTTAAGTATCCATGAAGCTCATAAAACGCGAGAATAACGTCAGATTCCATTCAGACTTGAACCATCTTAATATTACCGTGAACACACCATCTGTTATAAAGATGGTAGAGATCACGCCATTTCTTCTGGTACCTTCCCCATATAGGATACAAGATTTTGAAAAAAAAAACTATCAAATAAAGCGAAATAAGCATCCAAATCCATCGTTCTATCTCATCAAGTTTCCCATATACAAACATTTTTGGTAAAACAAGATCTGTTGCGAAGATGATATACATCTGCCAACCCCTTCTGGTAACTTACCCACAAAGGGTCACAATTTACAATACTTATATCTGTCATAACATGCGATACAAATAGGTGATTCTTATCCAGAAATCTGATACATTTATCGAATATTATGATTTCGCAGAACATTGGATATAAATGATCGATTTTCTTCAAAGTTTGAATATACCAAAATTTGTATCTGCATTAGTTGAAGTATGAACATGGAACACTTCGGCCCGCTATATTTGTTACTTCACACATATTTCCAAATTGTCCAAAAATTTGCATATATCTCATATAAAGTACCGGAAGTAGTAGATATAGTCCAAATCTGTCACGTTGTAATATTTAAATAAGTCTTACGTCAGATACGAATTGGTCAATATTGGCCAACTATTAGGAACCTCCTCCATAAATAGTCAAGAGTTTGAATAATCATGAGTCAAGGCTTGGCGTATACACTGGTGGCCAAAACTAAAGCAACTGAAATTACAAGGAGAATGAATGCCCTGTAACTTTTTCAAAAATAAAGAAAATGAGAAAGTTTTTCTTGTTTTAAATTAGGTACTTTATTCACTTTTTAAAAACCTAAAACGTAAAACCAAAATTATAATTATTAAATTATATATTTAAATTATAATTATTAATTTTTATATAAAAAATAATGTTTGGTAAAGTCAATTATCCCGATTTTGGCTTGGACAAAACAAAAGCAACTCTGTTGTATATTCATATAACCGCTGCAATTTCAGTTGTTTTTACTGTGATATTTATCGCTTTTTGCTTCCTTCTACAATTTCGCTTGTCATAAATTATTTTGGGAAGTTTTTTACAACAGTATGTGTTTTTCTTTTCGTTTTTTAAGTACTGCCCAAAAAAATTTTAAAAATGGCTAGAAGCAAATACAGTACCTGAATAAAACAGCAAATTATCAGTGACTATCAAAACAGTATATATCACAGAAAATGATTTCCGAGAAATATTTCATAAATATTTATGTGATTTCATAATTATTTCTGTATACTAAGTCGGTTTTTTGAAACTGGATCAGTAGTAACAGTCTATAACGGATGAAGGCCGTGAAAAACTTCAGCCCGTACTGATCAACAAATTGTGAGAGAAATAAAAAAAACACAATTTAAGAGTTCAACTGGATTGGTGAGAGAGCAATCATTGGATATAAGCTCGAGATCAGTGCGTAGGCGAGTAGTGGCAGCTGGTCTGCATGCCCGTAAGACATCAAAAAACCATTTATATCTGAAAAAATCAAAAAGACTTTCGGAAACGATAATATTAAGTGGAATCAAGCTCAATGGAAAAAACATCATTTCTGGGATGAGTCTACGTTTAATATTTAAGGCTCAGACGTGAAAAATTTTACGGTGAGAAGAGCAAAAATGAAGGACTCAAGCCGCAGTGTTGCAAAGGTACAGTGAAGCATGAGGGAGGGTCAAAAATGGCGTGGCGCTGTTTTTCTTTCTATGGACTTGGGCGTATCCATAAAATAAAGGAAGCTGTGGATCGGTTTGTTTACAAAGATGTGTTGGACATCACGTTGTTCCCTTACGCTGAGTAAAATATTCGGCTGATTTGGGTGTTTCAGCATGACAATGATCCCAAACTTGTATCAAAACTTGTCAAATATTGGTTGCGGGAGTCAAAAATTCATGTTTTGTTATGGCCGGCACAATCACCTGACCTAAACTCCTTAGAAAACCTTTGGAGTATCGTAGATAGGAAGATCAAGAGAGATTCGGAAATAAATAAGCACAACATTTTCTAAAGAATTCGGGGTGCCTGGGAAAGCACACCCAAGGATCAAATTGAGCGTGATATAGATTCAATGCCTCGTAGGTGTGCAGCTGCTATCAAAAATAATGGTTATGCTATCGACTACGAGCCAAAATTTAATTATTTTAAAATAAAAAATCAAAAGTTGCTTTAGTTTTGACCAAACAAAAATTGGGTCATTTTAGTTTTCCACATATTATTTTTCGTTCAAAATTATTTTTGTATTTTTATTTTTAGTTTCTTAAAAGTGAATTAAACCCCTCATTTAAAACAGGAAAAATAATTACGTTTTGTTTATTTTTGTAAAAGTTACAGGACATTTATCGTCTTAGCGATTTAAGTTGCTTTAGTTTTGGCCATCTGTCGGCAAGACCGACTGGTACTATTTGACATTTTTTAAATTCCGCCCATAATTTTATCACCTAACATAGAAAGGTAGGATAGAATATGGAATAAAGTGTTACCTCCCCCCTACTTCCTATGGTATCTCCCCCACAGAGGGTCAAAATGTTGAACATAATACTTATAACATTAGAATAAAATTATATAGAATTCTCGTATATCTCGACATTTTTACCGAAGAAATAACTCTGGTATGGGGTACTCCTTTTAAAACCTCTTCCCACAATTGGTAAAAATTTTGATTTATTATACGTCTTATAAAAAGCAAAATAATTCACCGATAATTGTTTTAACTTCGCAACATTTTTAATAACATAAGCTCTCGTAAAGTTTGAAATTATTCCACAGTTCTCTTAAAATGTTTGCTTGAGTTTAAGCATGGAATATATATATAGATACAACCTTTATGGTACGTAAAAAAACGTACATAAATTAATGGTCAATTGCTGAGGTCGACCGACTGCTAATTTTGAACTCGTTTTTTTTTTGTCAAATAAATGAGAAATAATCTAATTAAAAGAAAGAAATAGTCTACAAAAATTCTCATTAGATTTGACTGACTCATTTCAAGAAAACAAGCTACGGAATCTGCAAACAGATATACACGTATAGATCAATTTAATGGTGCTCTTTGATTTAAAAGAAGTAAGCAAAGGCTATAGTTGTGCGGAGCCGACCATGTGATACCCTACAAGACTACATTTTGGAAGATTTCGCTTTTAAAATTATGTTATGCCTTAGTTTTTTGACAAGGGACATTTAGCCAATATTTACCCACTCCGTCGTGCTGTTAGTTACAGCTAAATATAATTCAATGGCCATCCAAAATGCTAGACTTCTTCCCTGGCCTTCACTCTCTTGTCATGCAAAATTCCGTGTCGATTAGTTTTAATTATGTGATCAGGAAATTTTTTGTTTTTGGTTCATTTGAACCCCTAAATATTTTGCGATCATCTACGATTTATGATTTGCTTGTCTACGACATTTGGCTATATTCAGCAACGAAGTTAGCATAAAAAAAGTCAGAAGTTTGCCATTTTGTATTTTGGATTTCGCCTGTAAGTTATTTTTATCGTTTCGGTAGAATTGAAATGTTAATCTATTCAACTCGCTGTCCTCAACTCTTATCTGCTTGTTATTGGTGGCCTCTATAACGGCTGCAAAATCAGACACATATTAAGTAGTTGGTCCGTTTCAACCCCTAAATATATGCGGACATCTTTAAAAACAATAGGCTTAGCCCTTCTGACCCTAACCCTACCCTTATGAAAATTTTCGTGAGGATCGAACGATAATTTCAATCGCTATATATATCCGATATATTTACTAGCGGCATCTATGTAACGGTCAAAATTGGCCTCGCCTCACCACCATTCTAAATTTCGTGAAGATCGGGCCATAATTGTACGGTGATTACAAATTAACATGGATGGACAGACGGACGGACGGACGGATATATATGGCTAGATCGACTCAGCTCGGCGAGATAGGAAGATCCATATATAATGTCCTATGTGGGAAAATAATAATTCGAGGTGTTACATATTTTTTGGCCCAATCAAACTTTTAATACCCCCAGCACATAGTGCCGTAGGTAATAAAAATAAATGGAAGATGGTCTGACCTTTTGCTTATAAGTTGTAATAATGAAGAAGGCTTTATGTGTCTGAAAACATAATTTGTTTATCTCTCAGAAAGATTTATAACCCGCCATGGAGGTGTTGGCTATCATAAAGTCGACACCGCCCGGCTTTTATTTTTCCTTACTTTTTTTTAGATCTAAAATTTTAAAATTTTAATATATACCTTGAAATTTATTATGATAATGTAATTTATAATTTTCTTTCTTCCCATTCTTTAAAAAAAAAATAAAGGTGTGAATGTGCCCCTGGCTTTACAGGACCCTTGTGCCAACATATATTGAATGAATGTGAATCTTCACCGTGTATTCATGGTATATGTGTAGACCAGGAGGATGGATTCCGTTGTTTCTGCCAGCCTGGTAAGTATTTTTTGATTTAAAGAATTTTCCGAAAATTATATTTTTCAAATTTCCCCGTTAAACTGGACCAAAAAGTATACAAGTCAAAAATCTGTAAAGTTCCATCAATTAAAAAAGAACATCGTTTTGTTAAAAGTCGGCATTTGGACGTGAATGTGTTGTTTCGACTCTAGCATGGTTAAAAAATGGGGCTCAACAAAATAGATTTTTCAATCGTATATTCTTTGGATATTTCCTTCATATTTTAGGTTATTTTGAAAATGTCTATTTGAAAAAGAACATCATTTTGTTAAACCTCGGTATTTGGATGTGAATACCTGATTTCTACTCTAGCATGATTACAAAATGGGGCTGAACAAAATATATTTTTCAGACGTATTTTATTTGGATTTTCCCTTCAAATTTTAGATTTTTTTTTTCAAAATTTCTATTTTTTGGCCAAGTTTACTAACATTTTTCAGGATTATGGAAATGTTAAAAAAATCCCAAATTGAATTGAAATTCAACCCATACTTCCCTAAAAAAATAAAATTTTGCATTTACTTACTCATGAACTGCAATTCAATGTTAAAATTATTGATTAAATTAATGAATGCACCAAACAAAATACTGTTCATTATCTTCATTAACCTTATCTACCTGAAAGGTATCACAGAGCAAAAAGATTGCAATAAATAAAACGTGGAACTACTCAAAAGGAAATGTTTCTATTTTTTTTTTTTTCATATATTTCCATTGATTGCAATTTACCCTGTGGTTCAATGCCAACGATTTTATTAAAAGAAAAGCAGAAAATAAAAACCTCAATTTCCACTCATTTCATGTTTTTCTCATTTGTGGAAATTAATGAATGTGACGACAATATGAACGAGGAGCATAAATAATAATAAAAAGGAGAAGAAAAAATAAAATTCTGAAAAAAAATTACACACATTTCCTTTTCAGCTGTAGAATAAATTAACATATCCTAGCAGAAATCAAAAAGTTGTTGCATCCGCACTGAGAGTGAGTGAGAGTCCTTGCAAGCGAGGACTGATTGTAAGAAATATTTTTGTAAGGAAAATATTAAAATGGCTTCTTTCGCGACAAGTGGAAATTGAAAGACATTATGCCTGACGAAATCAATTGTGCTATAGCCTTTTATAAACCACAATGAAGTAGGTATGTGAATGTGTTTTAAGTGGATATGCAAACTTTGCAGTTCAAATTAACTCCGGAGTTAAAATTTGCTGATCGCTTGTATCCTAGAAAATCTTGACATATGACTACATATATTTAGACCGTTCTTCTGAAGCCAAATATCTAGGCACAATTTTAAAAAGTCAACTAAGATGGAAGAACAACATTGTGGAATGCGTGAAGGAAGGCTTCATTGCAGTCTACTCCAACAAGAATTCAACAGAAAATTAATGGGGACTATCTCTCGCGAAAATACACTGGAGGCTGAATGTTGTTGTTTGGCATTAATAAGTACTCAAGTAGACTACAAGGATCTAGGATACGGTTGCAAGAAGCCCTAGTAAATAATCGAGCACTCTGCAGGATTTTCAAAGATACGGTTGCAAGATAACTTAATAAGTACTCAAGCAGACTACAGGATATTCAATGATAGGGCTGCAAGAGAACTTAATAAGTACTCAAGCAGACTACAGTATGTTCAAGGATACGGTTGCAAGAGAATTTAATAAGTATTCAAGCAGACTACAGGATATTCAAGGATACGGTTGCAGGAGACCTTTATAAGTACTCAAGCAGACTACAGTATGTTCAAGAATACCGTTGCAAGAGACGTTAATAAGTAATCGAGCAGACTGCAGGATTTTCAGAAAAAAAAAAAAAAACGGTTGCTGGAGACATTAATAAGTAGTCAAGCAGACTACAAGGATATCCAAGGATACCAGCTTTACTGGCTCGGTGGGCGTGGTTAATACACTACTCTATTCGACGCTCTTCTCCATCCTTTCAACTCTCAATAAGGATCTATCAACTTTCACCTCTCTCAACTTTTATTATTTCTTTCCTTTCCTTTTCACGCAGTATAATCACAAATGAAACGAAACAGAGACCTCAATATCAAATTTTAGGATTCCAACGCTATACCATTACCCAATACCCAATTCAATACCATTTAGTGCTTTTCGAACAATTATAGTAGACATTTCTAAAACCACCTCCATATATTAACCGCAAACACCAAGAGTGACATATACATGAATTTTTCATCCAGCTTCGCTCAGTATCACGCTGAGAAACCACCAGTGACATCTATATGAAATTTCAGGATTTAAGCTCTATTCCTTGACCAAATACTTTACTTTTTTCGTAAAATTATAGCACAGGTTTCCCAAACCACCTCCACATCTGAATTTCAGATACGAACAGAGACCAAATTTGAGAATTCAAGCTCTATCCATTCACACAATACCACCTAGTACTTTAAGAACAATTATAGTACACAACTCCAAATCTCAACCTCATGTACCAACAGTGACAACTATATCAAATTTCAGGAGTTCGGCTCTATTCCTTCACCCTATACAAAATATAGTAATTTTCGTAAAAATATAATACACATTTTCAACACCAACAGAGACATCAATATTAAATTTCGTGGTACCCTTCACCCAATACCCAATTACGTACCACTTATTACTTTTCTAACAGATATAGTAAACATTTCCGAACCCAAATTTAGTATTTTTTATACAATAATAGTACACGTTTCCAAAACCAACTCCACTTCTCAATACCAAATACCAACAGAGACCTCAATATCAAATTTGAGGATTCCCTGGAATATCCCTTAACCCAATTCCAAATTTAGTACCCTTTAGCACTTGTTGTACAAATAAAGAACGTGCTAGCTAACTACCGCCAAAACTCAAACAAACATACAATCCGAAATCGTAACATACAATTTCCTTTAACCAATACAAAATTTAGTTTCCGGCGAAGCGCTTGCTTGAGGTGATCAAAACTTTGGTATTTTTTAGTGCCAACATTTCTTTCCAAAATACTCCAGACACAATAGTCTAATGGATTGGTATCCGGAGATTTTGGTGATAATTGTGCGCTGGAAATGAAGTGAGGAACCTCATTTTGTAACCATTCTTGTGTGGTGCGTGCTGAGTGTGCAGGTGCTGAGTCCTGTTGGAATGTCCAAGGTCTGCTGCCAAAATGTTTGCATGGCTAAGGCTTTAATATACCCTTCAGAATATTTTCGCCATAATATTCGGCATTTATTCTGATGCCAAGATCGATTAATACGAGCGAGCATCAGCTGTTATGGCGGCCCACACCATCACAACGGCCGGCGCTTGAATTCTGATGGCCAATCGAAGGTGCACATTATCAGCTGACCTCTTTAGCAAGTAAACACGATCACTTTGTTTGTTTACAAACTGCTGGACAACGAATGTTTTCTCATCGGAGAACACCAAATTCGGGAGCTCACCACTTTCGGCCAAGCTAAGCAACTCCTTAGCTCTTTTGAGTCTATTTTCTTTCTGTTGCGGCTTTACCCCGAATTCATTTTTCAATATTTGCCGAATGGAATATTGCAGTATGTTCAGCTCACGAGCCATTTTTCGGCCACTGCGACGCTGGTTTCGATCAAGTTGCTTCTTTACTTTTCGAACCATTTCTGCTGATGTTGCTGTTTTCTTCCGTCCACTTCCTTGAAGTCGGGCTACGCTACCAGTATCACGGTAAAGAGCGATGGTACGATTCACAAAAGATTTATTCACATTTTAATGCTGGAGTGCTTTAACGATAGCCACCTGTGGTTTTCCAGCCAAATATAAAGAAATCACTCTATCACGCTTGAATTCCACCACGAATAACTTTTTTATGGAGAATTCGCACCAAAATGCTTTCGTACGCTTGTAAACAATATAATGAGCTGTCACTGGAATAATTTTAACAGCTGTCGGACGAGTGGCTTAGAAATGACAGCAGTCTGAAATTGATTGCAGTTTTTTTCATCTCAACCTGTATGCCATCAAAGATATGACATTTCAGAATTTTATCTCTATCCCTTCAACCAATACCAAATTTTGTACCATTTAGTACTTTTCGTACAAATTCAGTACACGTATCGGAAACGCCCTCCACAGGGCTGTCAGATATGGTGATTTCTAAAAATCGCCACGTTTGGCGACTTAATTTTTGATTTGGCGACATGGCGATTTTTTGGCGGATTATAGAATTTTTGGCGAATTATAGGAAATTACGCATTTTGTCTATTGTATTATGTCCTGTTGGATAAAAAAAAACAAGTAAAAAATATTTAAGTTTTTGGGACGAATTTGGCATTTTTCAAAAAAATAAAATCCGTTAAAAATTCTGCTAAAATCTTAAAAATACCGAATATACACTTTATATTATGGTCTATACGACGACTTTGGTCATAAGCCATTACAATATTAAAATGCGAAACTTGAAAAAAAATTGGTGAATAATGTAGCTATAAATATCAAAATGCAGAATACAGATATTATTATATATATTAGCTATATTATTATATATTAGATATTATTGTATATTAGCTATACCAAAATGTAAACCTGCACAAACTGTAGGCTGTACGAACTTCAAATACCAAATTTGAAACAATTCCGGTGAATAATGTCGCTCAAATCATCAAAATACCGAATATCGGGGGGTACCATTATATGGGGACTATACGAAGGCGTGGACATGCACAAAGAATTTTCTGTCTTTGGCTGTAGTATCCGTTGCGAACTTCAAATGCCTAATTTGAAACATTCCAGGTGAATAATGTCGCTTAAATCACCAAAATACCGAAAATAGGGAGGAACCATTATATGAGGGCTATATGAAGACGTGGACTTGCATAGACAATTTTCGGTCAAAGGCTGTAGCATCCGTTGCGAACTTTAAATGACAAATTTGAAGAAATTCCTGTAAATAATGTGGCTCAAATCATCAACATACCGAATATCGGGGGGTACCGTTATATGGGGACTATACGAAGGCGTGGACCTGCACAGACAATTTTCTGTCATAGGCTGCAGTATCTACTACGAACTTTAAGTACCAAATTTGAAACATTTCTGGTGAACAATATCGCTTAATTCACCAAAATACCGAAAAAAGGGAGGTACCATTATATGGGGGCTATACCAAAACGTGGACCTACATCACCCATTTTCAATACCAATAGTCAGACATAATACACATTTGAGTAACATTTTATTAACCTACTAAATTTCGTTCGGAAGCTAGATTGATTTCCACAGACGGATAGACGGACGCACATCGCTAAATCGACATAGAATTTTATGCTGATCATAAATATATATATACTTTGTGGGGTCCATAATATGTATTTCGAGGTGTTACAAACGGAATGACAAACTTAATATACCCTTCATACTATGGTGGAGGGTATAAAAACATAAAGTGGGTGAGGTCGTTTTTATAAATCAAGGTTTGTCATTTACCAAATCTTCTAAATACCACATTTGAAACAATTTCGGTGAGTATCCTTATATGTGCGCTATAGGAAAGGGTGAACCTAAATTTTCAATATTCTGTCGCCGGAGCTAGAACCCATTATGAGCTACAAATATCAAAGTTTATATACCCTCCTTTTCAAGGTGGAGGGTATAAAAAGCTAAATGCTGTATAATATATAACATAAAATGAGGAAGTTTCGTTTTGGCGATTTTTGGCGAATTCTGATACTTGATTTGTCGATGGCAGCAGAAAAAAATTTTACAACCCTTCCCCTTAATATGTATAGGCTACACATGAACTAATACGAAATTTCAGATTTCAAGCACTATCTGTTCACCCACTACCTGAGTGTACCAAATACAGTACTATTAGTACTTTTCTTGCGGTTTCCAAAAACCGCCTTTACATAATAAACTTACTTTACATCTATGCTGCACTTCATCAGTGACTTTTATTTCAAATTCTAGCTCATTTTTTCGTGCAATAAAAAGTATTAAATTTTTGGTGTATTTTAGTACTTTTCGAACTCTTTAAAGGGAAACCACAGAATCCACGAAAAACCCATCCTTATCACCCGGCATCACAACAAGGCTGACACATTTCTAAGATTCTATCTTCAGACGTTTCGTCTGGGAGTTGATTCTCGTTAATCCTTTTATATATTTATAGGCTTAGAATATTAACCTTGAGCATTCTAATGGCTCCAAAAATATTTCCCCTAGTGAGGAACTATTTACAAAGCTATGTTTATTAATGCATTTAAAATTCATAATATGAAATTTGATAATATTCCATATTTTCAGGTTTTGCTGGTGAACTGTGTAACTTCGAGTACAATGAATGCGAATCGAATCCCTGTCAAAATGGTGGAGAGTGCATCGATCATATTGGCAGTTATGAATGTCGCTGCAGCAAAGGATACACTGGCACAAGGTGTCACATCAAGGTGAGTTGAGGAAGTAGAATGTAGATTAAAAAGAAAAAAACAAAGAATCAAATTAATAAGGACGGAGGAGTGAAAAAATATTCCATTCCTTAATGTTTATAATTTGTGTCTTAATCCCGAGCCAATTTAAAAAACCCATCCACCCTCAATATTAACTAAATACTTAAATTTATTACATTTAAAGTGCTTTTACTCTTTCCCTCCCAATTCAAATAAAAATCTAAAAAAAACTATGGCATTCCAGGGATGGGAATATAAAAATGCATATTGTTTCATAATTTTAATTATTTGAAGTACGTTCTTGAAGTAAAATTAAAGTGAAATTTGCCAAGACCATTGGGAAAATTATTTCAACAGGGAATAGTCCAACCCACTACGACAGCAAAAAAATCATCTTTCTACGACTTAAGTATCATTTTACTTTATTCTCCCCTAATTTTATTCTTTATTGGTTTTTTTCTTTGCTCTTGTACGTAATACAAGCACTTTGCAAAAATTTCTCTTTCTTTATTCATTCACTCACTCACTCATTCTATTACATTTTGTTGTTTGTTGGTTTGCAATTTCAGGTGGATTTTTGCGCTAGTAAACCATGTCCTGAAGGACGACGCTGCATCGATCACGGTAATGACTACAGCTGTGAATGCCTTGGGGGACGTAATGGTCCAGATTGCAATGAAATGTTGAGAACGGTGAGTATTGAATGACAACAACAAATAGGGTGGGGAGTTTGGATGTGTTCGAGACGAATTTTGCATACACTGCATTACGCAATGTGACACATGATAAAAAAAGTGAAAAAGATATTATAGAAAAAGAAATCCGCAACTCTATGAAAAATATTCCTGAAATCGAAATAAATTAAGATAATATTTTAAAAATCCCTTTTTTGGGCAGTTAATATAATTTTTTTTTAATCCTTATTTAATAAAGCTTGAAAAGTATTCTTTAAAAATCCTCTTGTAGTCCTCCAAAATTTGATTGCAGGTTCATTGACCCGAATCAATGAAAGCGTTTTGCTTAAAATACACGTCCTCTTTTTCGAATAATCCCCAAAAAAATAATCCTAAAAATTCGCGACTCAGGATCAAATTATTCCTAAAAAGAATCTTAAACATGCACGTCTCGGGATCTAACAGTACTTTGAAAACATTTATTTTATAAATTCACGTATCGGGGTTTAATTATACTTCCAAAAAAGGGTCCTTAAAATTATTCTTTAAAAAATACACGTCTCTTTAAAGAAAGATCAATAAAATATTCTTTAAAAAACCACGTCTCGGAATTTAATCCTTGAAAAAAAAACCTTTAAAATATATTTTAAAAACCTCGTCTCGGAATTTAATCCTTGAAAAAAGGTCCTTAAAAAAATATTTTAAAAATCCACGTCCCGGGATTTATTTATCCTTAAATTAGGGTACTTAAAAATATTCTTTAAAAGAATCCGCGTTTATTGGTCCTTGAAAAAATACTTTTTAAAAAATCCTTGAAATAATATTCTTTAGAAAATATTCACGTTTAGTGGTCCGTTTTTTAAAAACTATCCAGGTTTATTGGTCCTTGAAATAATATTTAAAAAAAAATCCCTAAGATAATATTGTTTAAAAAATATCTACGTTTATTGGTCCTTGAAAAAATATTTTTTAAAAAATATCCAAGTTTATTGGTCCTTGAAAAAATATTTTTTAAAAAAATCCACATTTATTGTCCTTGACAAAATATTCTTTAAAAAATATCCACGTTTATTGGTCCTTGAAAAAATATTCTTTAAAAAAACCCTTATTGGTCTTTGAAAAAATACTTTAAATAATATCCACGTTTATTGGTCCTTGAACATATATTCTTTAAAACTTCCTTGAAAAAATATTCTTAAAAAAACACGCTTTTTGTCCTTGAACAAATATTTTAAAAAATATTCACGTTTATTGGTCCTTGAAAAAATATTCTTTAAAAAATCCTTAAAAAAATATTCTATAAAAAAATCACTGAAAAATATTCTTTAAAAAATATACATTTAGTGATCTTCAGGTCTTTGAAAAAATAATCTTTAAAAAATCAACGTTAATTTTTTCTACAGGCCTTTAAAATAACAATCTTTAAAAAATCCACGTTTATTTTTTCTACAGGTCTTTAAAAAATCCACGGTTTTTGGTCTTCAGGTCCTTGAAAAATTATTCTTTAAAAAGTCCAAGTTTATCAGTCTTCAGGTCCTTGAAAAATTATTCTTTAAAAAGTCCAAGTTTATCAGTCTTCAGGTCCTTGAAAAATTATTCTTTAAAAAAATCACGTTTATTGATCCTTGAAAAAATATTCTGTAAAAAATCCACGTTTATCAATCTTCAGGTCCTTGAAAAATTATTCTTTAAAAAAATCACGTTTATTGATCCTTGAAAAAATATTCTTTAAAAAATCCACGTTTATCAGTCTTCAGGTCCTTGAAAAATTATTCTTTAAAAAAATCACGTTTATTGATCCTTGAAAAAAAATTCTTTAAGAAATCCACGTTTATTGGTCTTTTGGTGCTTGAAAAAATATACTTTAAAAAATCCATATTATATTTTTTATTTGTCTTTTGGTCCTGGAAAAAATATTCTTTAAGAAAATCGACGTTTATTGGTCTGCTGGTCCATGAAAAAATATTCTTTAAAAAATATACGTTTAATGGCCTTCAGGTCCTTGAAGAAATATTCTTTAAAAAATATACGTTTAATGGCCTTCAGGTCCTTGAAAAAATATTCTTTAAATAATCCACGTTTATTGGCCTTTTGGTCCTTGAAAAATATTTCTTATTTATTAGTCTTCATATCCCTGAAAAAATATTCTTTAAAAAATCAACGTTTATTGGTCTTCATATCCTTGAAAAAATATTCTTTAAGAAATCCACGTTTATTCATGTTCATATCCTCAAAAAATATTCTTAAAAAAACACGTCTATTGGTCTTTTGGTCCTTGAAAAAATATTCTTTAAAAAATCCAAGTCTATTGGTCATTTGGTCCTTGAAAAAATATTCTTTAAAAAAATCCACGTCTATTGGTCAGTTGGTTCTTGAGAAAATAATCTTTAAAAATCCGCGCTTATTGGCCTAGATATTAGATATTCTTTAAAAAAATCTACGTTATTGATCCACATTTTTGTTTCTGGCGCAGTTCTTGTCTTAAGTGTGTATTTTATAGACCTTGGTACAAACGACATGATGAACTGTGCATGAATCTTTTTTCCATTATCGCGGATTTAAATATACCATAAATAAAAGATTTATTGAAAACAAAAATCAAAAATTGTCAGTATTATAAGCAACAAAATTCCTGAGGATTTCGTTGTAAACTTCAACATAATTCCAGGTTACGAAGCATAAAGCAATCGCCCCTCTACTACATCGTTACTATTTTTTTGTTCTCTCTACCCAGTTGATTGTCCTTGCCATGATTGTCAATTAGGTAAATTGTAGTGGTTATCACTGGGATAACAGCCACCACAATGGTTACAACTAACAAATTTATGGTTTATTCATTAGTTTCAAGAGAGAGAAAGAGAGAGAGGTAGGGAGGGAGAATGAAAGTGGGGAAGTTTTGTAAACACTTGTAATCGCCCACTTCTATACCCCCCCCCCCCCCATCCATTACATGTTACATTTCTCCGTACCTTCACTTAGTTTTACCAAAAGTTTTATTTGCTCTCGTTTAGACGATATGAATTTGAGTTTTGTATTTAACTTGGAAAGTGCCATTGTGATGTATGTGTGTGTGTGTGTGTTGGTGTGTATCTTTCCATGTTAATATGAAGTGTCATTGTGGTGCAAAATTGTTTTCCGAAAATTTCTAAGCAATTAATTTCAATGAAATGTCCATAACACTTGGTATTTTTTTACTTGATGCTGCTTCTGATACAGTTGGTGTTGTTGTGTGTTAATAACTTCTGTAAATCTCACCTTGAAGTAGATCTAGGGAAACAATTGCGTATTTTTAAGTAAAAACCTAACGATAAACGTCTTTAAAATCTTAATGTTTTACGAATATTATATGGCAGTTATAGGACTGACAACTCCCAAATGAAAACAAGTATGAAAAGGCCATAGTCGTGCGGGGCTGATTATGTTATACCCTACAACACTACAATATGTTAGAAGCCCCTTTATGTCCAAATCCATATTGGAAGATTTCGCTTTTGAAATTAGGATTTTGACTAGGGACATTTGCCCAACATTTATGCACTCCGTCGGGTTGTTGTTGTTAGTTGTTGTAGTCCATTTTACAGATAAATGTAATCCAATGGTCATCCAAAATTCTAGAATTCTTCCCTGTCCTTAACTCTCTTCACAGGCGTGTCAATTGGCTTCAATTGTGTGATCGGAAAATCATTTCTGTTTTTGGTTATTTTGCAACCATCTCCAAAAGCAGGAAGCCCCTCTGTATCTCCAAATTTAGACTCATCTATATGATTTGCTTGTCTACGATATTTGGCTATATTCGTCAACGAAATCAGCATAAAAAATCCAAAAATTCGCATTTTGTGTATTTCGGATATCGCCTGTAAGTTATGCTGGTATTTTTTCACACAAAATTAGTGGTCCATTGTACCCGCTGTCCTAGCTCTAATTTTATGTGAGATTTCGTGTCCTTTGGTTTCTATTTGTTACCTTTATAACGGCTGCAAAATCAGGAAAATTTTTAGTTGTTAGTCCATTTCAACCCCATAATATATTGCGGACATCTTTGAAAACAATAGGCCTAGCCCTTCTGAGCCCAACCCTACCCTTGTGAGAATTTTCGTGAGGATCGGACGATATTTGCAATACTTATATAATATCCCCAACCTGTGTTGTAAGATGATAAAAAATATTACAAAATATAAGTCAAATTGAAAAAATCGCATGCGATAAAAAATATGAAAAAATAAAAAAAAAAATCACAAAATATTACAAAATCTATATTAACATCTTTATTGGCATATTTATACCCTACACCACTATGTGTTGGGGGAATTATAAGTTTGATTGGGCCAAAAATTATGTAACACCACGAAATATTGATTTCCCACATAGGAAAGTATATATGGATCTTCCTATTTCGCCGAGCTGAGTCGATCTAGCTATGTATGTCCGTCCAATTTGGGTGGTTATCGGATAATATTTAGCGGGTAAAATAGACCATATCTTTTCTGTTGAAAAAATTCAAAATGTTTCATTAAAGAACGAATACTTTAAACCCCGGCGAAATCTCAAAGCCATGACAAGGTTACTACTGACCTTTACATTGATGTTAAGATCCAAAAAATCGAATATATAGCAAATATATGCGATATATATGTCTATCAAAGAAGATATGCTTGAAAGATCTCTTATATGTCGAGAACGGCTGAACTGATTTCGACAGTTCTCATTAATTCAGAATGGCCTCTTGGCAGGAAAGGAAAAACGTCAAAAAAACGCATACAAATATCTCTCTAAAGATAAAAATATTGATTTTGTAACATTTTCTCATATTTTTTCCATTTTGTCATATTTTTTTGGCATATTTTCATTTTGAATTAAACATTTGGTAATATTTCTATAGCTAACAAAACTAAGTAGTTAGGTTATCAGGATATCATGTACAGATTGCATTTATGGCCCGATCCTTACAAAATTTTGCATGGGGATAAGATGAGGGTCAGAATAGAAGCCTACTCTTTTTGGAGATGATCGCCATATAT